AGTGTTCCTTTTTACTTCGTACACCTGTGCCATCGCCATCGTACAGCCTAATTTTATGCATTCGTAATACTGGTATTTTTTCGCTGAACAACGCAACAATCGTGTCTGCACCGTCGCGAGCTACATCTCTTTCTTCCTGTTCGACGAACGCTTGAATCAATATCTTTTCTTTTTATCGATCGACTCGAACACGCGTGACCATTGAACGCAACGACGAAACGACCCTGAGTCTCGACGGTTCAGACACGCGTCGTGCCGCGCGTTCTTCTACGTATACTGAAAATCTGAAAAATACTTCGGGATACCTTGTTTTATCACGGTTGTTCTCGACTTACGTCCTAGAAGTGTCTGCGACTTGGACGCGTTCAACCGGCCAACTATTCCACTTATACGTACAACACGACTTCATCCTCGCGAGCGTAGCTATTTACAACAATTGTCCGCGAAAATTATATCGACGTTGCAGATATCAATGTATTTACAGCTTGGAAATTTATTCGCCAAGTGAGACGAGCTCGTCGCGTGGCAAGATCGAGGAGTCGAGTCGACGTCGATTTAGCCAATTTCCGAACGGACGAACAGCGAGCAAAAGCTCTCTTTCGATCTCTGTGTTGGACCCTGAATGCCATACCTACCATACTCGCCGAAACTCCCCGGCGTTTTCTTCTTCCTTAGGGTTTCATTTTTTGTCCAGCGGCCGCGTGTAATTTCGTGTCATTTCGGATTTCTTCCCCCGCAGGCCAGGTCCCCTCTAATGTCATATTAATTGTAGATTCGCGTTCGTGCGCGATTGGCTCGTTTCCTGGCGCGACTCCGACTCTGGATCTGGCTCTCGATGGTGGGTCTAGCCGGCTCTCTAACCTATTCCCCTCCCCTTTCCCCAGACAGGTGAACAGTTTTTTATTTACACGGCGAAAAGCAGCCGTCTCGCAGTCGTTCAACGACGTTTCTACCAATTAACAACCGTTTCCTTTTGGCGTTTTACGTCCGTACGCGCAACAAACACACACACGTACACACACACATACACACGTACGTAGACACCCATGCATATACGGATAGACAGACGCACACGATCGCCGGACCGTGCGAGAGCATAATCGTAACGATAAATCTGTCGAGACGTCGCCGATTGGCCGATTCGTTCTCTCCCGATCTACCCGGCCGTATAACGATTATTACATCGAGTATGAATACTGTTTCAAACGTACCGTGTTGGTTCGCTAAATGTCCGAGTCGCGAAACTTTGGTTAACCGCATGACGTTTCCTCTGCGCGCGTTCTCATTATCTAGGAAATCCCGGACGTCCCGTGCCGTGTCACTTCCCCGCGCTCCACCCTTCCATCGCGAGATCGACCATTTCGCGTGATGAACTTGTCGTTGTCGGTGGAAATTCGAGTTCAGTCCACCGCGAGTTCCTTTTTACACGCGCGTTCTTCTCCTCTTGCGCGCTTACGTAACTTACGTAGCAGGCAGGATTCGACTGTAACTTGGCTTAAAATATCACCGTACGTTCGTCTGTCGCGCCGTGATCTCTCATGCGATGCCAGTTGCTCAAACGCTGATCATCGACTTCTTGAAAGTTGAAGCTCCTTCGGTTCCACCAAGTGCCAACCTTCTTCCACAGGGGTCAATCGTACTCCTCCTCGAGAGAGTGCGATCGATCTTCCTCGATCTCGACGTAGCTGCTTCCTAATGGTTCTTTCAATTCGTCGAACCTTCCCACGAGGGTGTCTGTACCCTAGATGTCGTTTATACTCTCGTCGTCGCTGTCCGCTCTTATGCTCTGCGGACTGTCTTCTCTTTTTGGCGAACGACTGGTGCTCCTGTCCCTCTGCCTGCTCGCCCTGCTCAAGTGTTCTCTCTCCCTGCCCTCGACCATGTCCGGACTGTCTCTGTAGTAGCTGCCCAAATTCGACAGGCCCGAGTTGGCCGTGAGCGAGCCGATACTGTTACTAGGCCCCGCTTGAAGCATCGTTGCTGGGTAGAGCCTGTCGTCCTTGCACATAGGTGATCTTTCTCTCAACGCAGGACTCTTGCTCCTGTCCCTCTGTCTCGACGCTCTGTTCATGTTCTCCCTTTCTCGTCCGTCCACCGCTTCCGGGCTGTCTCTGTAGTAGTTGCTCAGATTCGAGAGGCTGGAACTCGCCGTGAGAGTTCCAAGGGTGTTGCTCGAACCGGGTGTTTGCTGCACCATCGTCGGCGCGTACAGTCTTTCCTCCTTCATCAACGGCGACCTGTCGCTGAGCACGGGGCTTTTGCTTCTGTCCCTTTGTCTCGACGATCTCTCGATGTTCTCTCTGTCCCGTCCGTCCGCCATTTCTGGACCGTCTCTGTAGTAATTGCTGAGATTCGACAAGCTGGAGCTCGCCGTCAGCGACCCGAGAGGATTGCTAGGCCCTGCCAGGATCATCGTCGGTGGGTACAGCCTGTAGGGAAGAGGCTTCTGCAAGGTGACCGCCGCCGAGGCTTGCTGATAGAACAAACCGTTTGTCGGTAGCGCGTGTGCGCTCGGATACGGCCAGTATCGTCCTGCCGCAGGATGCGCAGGAACTGCCGCCGCCCCGCTTCCGTACAGCTGCTGGAACGCTGCCACCGCGAAATTGTTCTCCGCCATTATTTCGAAGCCCACGATCGTCTGTCTCTTCCACTTCGTTCTGCAAAGAGAATACACAGAGAGATAGTTAATTTTACTCGCGCTCGATTCCTCGATTCTTCCATTCATATGATTATTGTACACTTTATCGACACGTCGCTCCTCGGTATCGAGATTGAGTTAGTCTGCTCTTACTATTGAGATTTCATTTTTTTTTCCTGTTTACAAACGACAACAAAAATGGAGTCTAAGGAAAAGCTTGATTTTCTTATTAAACATTACAAGAAATACATGTTTCATGTATTTCTGTATATTTTTTATTTGCGGCGTTTTTCACCCTTTCGATGAATTCTCAGCATGGCCTACACGCATAAAAATCCATAGTGCATACATTCAGTTGGATTGAATCAGCCTCGAAATGTGAAGCTTCAGAAGCCTCTGAACGATTTGAAAAATCCCTCTGGCAGCTTTTTACAGTTTCTTCGAATTCATTCCTCGACCCCCCCCCCCAATCTGTTCGATCGCCTCCCAATCTCTGTTCGCGTATGTAAATCTTCGATCTGGGACAATTACGTTAAAACGGGATGGCGTGCCGCCAAGTGGTTACGTTGGCCACACTGTTGGCGAGCTTATTATACTAACAAATAGCCCGTGGAGTTTCACTGCCTAATCATCGCGTATCATGCCACCACGCGCTGGCGAGTCCCTACGCGGCGTAAGCTCCGCGAACGTTGAAGCCCTTGGAGATGTGTCTGTGTGTCTCTCCGACGCGAGTTATCGGTCGTTGGACAATGCGCTCGATAAAGGTTCGATAAAGGTTAACTGCGCGAGAATAGCGAATTATCGCGAGGAGTAGAAGAGGCAGCGTGTATACGTATAGGCACAGGTATAAGTCGTAGAAGCGAGGCACGATGACTCGAGGGAAATTGCGATCATTTGTAAAATAAAAGGGTAGCATTTGCTCGATCCCGTTCGGCGATAGAAAAGTGTTTCCTTGGAAAAAAGAGAGAGAGAGAAACACGAGGGTCACGATTTCGAATTGCAGAATTCCTGACAAGTTGTCTGTGTACTAAAAAGGCCAAAAAATAAAATTCCTTACAACGCGTGGTCTTCGATGCCACGAGGACGACGTTGACGTTCTAATTTCGTCCTGCTCGCTAATTCTTCGTCATTCTTTAAAAAAAACTCAAACTCAACACACCATATTATGCAGTAACTTAAGTTCGAAGCACTTAAGAGCTAGCAGCGAAAGCTCTAAATTTCCACGATGGTGGTGCGCGTTCCGTTTCGCGTGGCGTTAAAGTGAAAACGTGCGGCAAATGCGAAGGACGAAACGTACGCGCGTTCGTAAGGCGGTGATAGTGGCGCACCAATTGGACCAATTACGCAACTCGTTGGGTCGCGCGTAATTATCAAAGAGCGGAGAGGTAAATTACAGTCTCGCGTCCGAACCGACACGTGGTGATTTAGCTCTCTCTTGCTCGAGTTCCAGCGTATTACTCGTTTCTATTATTACCGTAAACGTAATGCTATATCACATTGTCTGATGGATTACGTGAATGCGGCGCGGTTCACGACGCGGCGTGTCGTGGACGAAAACGGCGATCAACATTGTCAGCCAATGGCGTTGCGGTAACCAAGCGTGTGCCAGCTACGTACGTACGTGTAATTTAGCCGGCACGAACGACGGTTAATAAAAACAGTTTTCCCATCGGCGCAAAAATAATTTGACGCGGCCGTGCATGCTGGTTAATAATTAACGGCAGTTATACGCGTAATCGATTCCCGTTTAATATGGATTCATGGCTCTGGTACCTAAACGGCCGTCGATCGGCCAATCCGTTCGAGGTAATTATACCGCGGGGTTAATTAGAAAAATTTGCAATTCGCGAACAGTGGGGATCGCAGGATCGGGAAATCAAAGAATTTTTTGCCAGCAACGAAGCCCGGTGGCACGGACGAGCATGGTCAAACGTCATGATTATCTCCACGACGATAAATCATCTCGGCCGGTCGACTATCCTCTCAATTAAAAGCCGACGATTCGCTGCGGAATTTCGGACGATAATTAACGAGCTATTCCCCTCCCTCCCTCCCCGCGCAACGGTCGACAACGGGGACATTCGTTACGTTTTTCCATAAAAACCGGAGGCGAGATAAAAATTAAAAAAAAAAAAAAAAAAAAAAAGAAAAAAATAGGAAAAAAAAATATACAGCAGAGAGGGAAAAAAAAAA